GAAAGTCAATGTTTTACTGCTTGGAGTTGGCCAATACAACATTCAGCCTTGTGTAGCATGTTATTAATTATGCATATATGCATGTCATAATACAATTTTGGATTTTCCTTTAGTGGTTATGCTGCTATATTCTCACTAACATACAGGGAAAATCATACTTTTCCTCTTAGTTCAAGTAACACTGTATACCAGTCTTTTGTTTTAAGTACATTAATAAGTAACAAGTCTTTCTGAACATAATGAGATATCCATTCATTTCATGTTCAAGTTTTCTGTTCCCTTTGCTATAGTATCTGAAAGTCATGTAATCTTTAATCTTTTCTCATAACATTACCTACTGCTGTACTTCTGCATTAAAAAGGAGGAGGACTGATTTGCAAAGGCTGTACTGTGGATGCTGTGACAAAGTAGGAATCACTCCCAGCTATAGCAGATGCTTTTTTCATCTGCTGGATCATCACCTCCTTCTACCTAAATTACCTATTCATGTAATGCAGTGACAGTTACAGGATGCCACAGATTAAGATAGCTGGATTTTATGCTGAAGGTATTTGTATGAACTCTCAGTTCTCCTCCAAATCTCTCTAAATGTTATGGGATGCTACTGGTGAAAACCAGGAGAAAGTTTGAGTGGAGACTCTGCTTTCCTACTCTGGAAATTGATGGTGCATATAGCAAATACTCTCAACAAATGAAATGCAAATTTTTTTTGTGCCAAGCCCTTGTTGTCAGGCTTCCGAGTACACAAACAGGCTCAGCAACCTCCTTCCCCCAGCCCCAGGGGTTTAGCTGCCTGTGCTCAAGGCCAGTTCAGACACTGTGCAGCTCTGTGACCTTGGATCACATCTGTGTGAAAACAGTTAAATTGTGGGAAAGAGCTGTGAACAGCCTCACCTGGGTCCTCTGCTGCACTTAACCTCAGGCCCCTGGTCCTTGCCTGAGTTACCCTGTAGCAAGTCTGCCTGTGGCCAGTCTTGTACCCTGCTGATCCTGACCTTGCCTTGCTGACTGACCATCCTGGTTTCATGTTGGACCTGCCTTGTTACTACAGACTTGCCTGACAGTCACCAAACTCTTGGCTGACTCTGCTTGCCATGCCCAGGCCTGCCCTGCTCACCATGCTCGGGTGCTGTGCGGTGCACCCTGGCTGGTGCAGCCACTGCCCCACCTGCCTGGCTGGCACCTTTGGCTCCTGGCTTGCCTGCCCTGGCAGAGCAGCCCAACCCTGGCTGCTCCTTGACATGGCTTGCCTGAGCATGAGCTCTCAATAAATGATTCTTTCTCAAGAATGACCTGGGCTAAGAAGCTCTATTAGTCCTTTGAAAGCTGAGCAAGCTGCCCTGAGAGATAGGAGTCAGGTTTCTCTAATGCCTGAGTGAGACTGAATTTTGTTGAATTAGTTGAGGGGAAATTTAGCCAGCAGCTCTGGACAGTTCTATTCTCACTTGTAAATCATTATGCTGGAAAGAAAGTATAAAAGATGAATGAGTTTACTTTGTTTTTAGCTGCCATTTTGATTTCCCTGAAAGCACTGAGCCATCCATCAGTATCCATCCCTGGGTTTTCCATGGGGGGGAGGGCAGATTCTGCTTAATGTTCGGGTTTTCTATGTAGCTGTATTTAATCTAAATGCCAAATGCACACCATACAAAATGATTTCAGCTTACGTCCTCAAAGGCAAAAAATACTCTATTTCTAGAGTGTTTCAATGCTAAGACCTCAACCATTTTACAAACATTGATGAATTGAAGTTCAGAGGTTTCTAGTACAGTAGGAAATGTTCCCTCTTGAATGAGGAAAGGCTAGGGTCATTTACCCAAATGATGAATGGCCTTTCATAATTAAGGTGTTTGGGATTTAATATTGTTTCATGACCATCTAACAAATCTAAAAGTGTGCTCTTGCCAAAAAAAAAAAAAGTGGCCTGCCCCATTTCCTGCTTCTGGATGCATTTTTCTTATACCTCTCCTGTTTCATCCTCTATTGCTTGTTTGGCTGCCTGATGAGCTAGCTAATAATTTCAGCTGAACCAGTTCAGGAATTAGCTATCAACCAGATTAGGTCCCTGATCTTGCTGTGAGGCTGCATGAAATCTCATCTCTAGAAAATGTGAGCTATATTTCCAGTTTTGCTACAGATGTCTTGTATGACTTCTAGCAAATCCCATAAGCTGTCTCTATTTCCTGTTGTAAAACTGAGATAATTATGTTCCCCAGCCTTTCAGTATGTGAAGATTAATTTATTAATATGCATGAGATGTTCATATTCTACATTGAAAGCCATGGAAGTTCCTAGATCAACTCTTCATTTGTTTGAGTTTCATCAATTCATAGCCACAGAAAGTTCATTTCTGTTAAAATGTTTAGTAAGTTGACACCCTCACAACACTTTAATTATATTAAACTGCAGTCCAAAAGCAATGCTAATCTTTAGTCCATTGTCAGCTTCACAGTGACTGTATTCTAAATTCATTCAAATTACCGTAGCAGAGATCATGATTCCTGCAGGTTCCAAAAGGCATTGTATTGCTACTGTTGCCAATAAATGCATGACTATTGTGTATATATTCTAAATGTACACATAATTATGATTTTTGAATGTTTGAAATGTATAATGATTGGTGTGGCATCATAATTTAGGTAATGAGCTGCTAGTGCGTATGTGCTGTAATGAGTCATTTTTAACCTGGTAATTCAAATCTTGGCCAGTTGGTAGCAACAGCAAGTTAACTGCACTATGCTTCCTCGTGGTCTCATCTGAAAAATTGGATGGGGATGACAGGAACCACCCTTAAGGTAGCTAAATTTTTCTACCATGCAGTGCTAGCAGTGACATTGAAGAATGAGCTCTTCTGAGCCTGACGCTGTCTGCTCTCAAGTTCTGTAAGAGAAGCTCACACAGACTTCATTATTCTTTTAAGTGACTTTGTCTACATGCCTTTTATGACCCCTCACGCTCAGAGTGGTTGAGACAAAGATGTGAGTGTTTCCTATATCTGTGGGCCAAAAATAGGATGGTCAAAATAAGAAACTACTTAAAAATATTTGGTGTTTGCATGAAAAGAAACAGTTCTTCATTCTGTTTCCAATAGAGTCACTGCCACTAATGATGACATGTATTGCAGCACTGACTGTGCTATCAGAAATGCAATGGAAGTTTCTATTGCATGAATCAGCAAGATCAACTTGACTACATAACAATAAGCTGCTTAATGGTTACTGGGTTCAGCCGGCATCAATATCCAGAACAGAAAATCTTAAGCCTGAGTTTAAGGAGTAAACTTGCTGAGCGGAACAGCTCACAGGGGTTTACAAAGAAAGGGAGGTGGTAGAGAAGCACAGCTGACACAATGACTTCTGTAGTATCAAGGATTCTCCACTGTATTAAACTAATGTAACATTATTGCCAAGAAGATTCTAACATCTTCTGTGCTAGTAGAAACTAACCTAAACTATATGACCAAAAACCCTGCAAGCAGTTATAGAAGCATATATCCTAGTGAAAATAACGGGAATGTTATCTATTTAACTATACATGTTCACTAGAATAAAAAGGGAGGTTGAAAGCATTTAGTCCACTCCTATTAACACAAGCTGCTTTTGTCAGCTGTCTTATCTCAATGATGTCATTTAAACTGCAACCACTCCTCACCACTATCAAATTAGAGGCTTTCAAATTTAAAGTACCAAATTGCAGAGAGCTTTACTGCACTGTGTGGTGGTCATAACTGCAATTTTTTAGGCCCTTTGTGGAAGAGGGAGTGGTTCCATCTTCATTTGCCTTAGGTGGAGGTAGTAACAGAAAGGATAGGTCTTTCTGATCCTGCTGGCCCACAGACCAACTGCTTCAAGGGCTTGCTGTTGCTTTCTTTTGTATTATCTTACCCTACTCTGAAACTTTGATATTCCTCTTGATTTGTACCCTGAATGCATGGAGTATTTTCCACAAGTCCCACCGTTTACAAAATTGCTATCCTCAAAAATTCTTCCTATAAAAGCTGCTTATTTCAACAATTTGCAAAGTCCAGGGGAACTCTAGAAATTCCCAAAGCTATATTATTGGTCTTGGGACAAAAAATACTGTTCCTGGATGTAAAACAGAGCAGTTTAGATAGTGGTATGGTAGGAGCACCGCAGGAATTTGTGGCACAGGAACTAACAACAATCCCTCCCCCACTAACACCCACAACAACTGAGTACAGATGGAGAAGTTGGCTGTTTTCCACCAATAGTGAGTAACCCATTTTTCTGTGCTGATTGATTGCCCTGTGCTGCTGTTGTCTTACTCTTTTTTCAGGCTATTGCTGGCAGAAAGGTCTTCACTACTAACAACACGTTTGCCTAATCTTGGCATTTAAGCTTAATATTGAATGACAGTTTAATACTTCCAACTTTTGCGGACCTTTAGTTTTGTGGCAGATCATTTCTAATGTGTGTATGTTAAAATATTTTAATCGTCTAGCTTTAAAAACTTAGATTGAGGGGAATTATTAATTCAACACAAATATGCAATAATATTTTTCTACTATGGAGAGACTAAGAAAATTCAGCACAGAAATGACATATTTGCAAGTTGCTGATAAACCTTCCGTTGCAATTTCGAAGTGCTGTTTTATTTTGAAGCCTATTCTTCATTGAACTTTCTCAGCAGCACATCAACACACAACTAATTTGCTATTCTTTTTGGAATAATGCTCTTCTATTAACTAAGTCTTCATTGAATAAGCTACATAAGTTTTGTTAGTAAAAGAGGGTTATCCTGAACTGAATCAGCACTAAAAAAAAGTATGTAACAAGTGGTTTTATATTTTAATGGTATTAACCCACGCTGCTTCATACTTTCCTAACAATTTTTTGAGTTTCAGTTTTGATTTTCATTGCCTGAAAGCTTTCCTACTCACATATTTTCATTATTATTTCCAATTACCTTAAATCTTTCATTCTCTGCTGTAGTTGGAAGTGAAATTTTAAAATAATCTTTTTTTCTTATCATTCTTTCAGCGCTCCATAAATCTTAAATTACAAAGCATTCAAGGGTAGGAGTGAGACTGTGGACTGCAAAAATTGCTATTTTCTGAATAACGTCAAAGTAAGTAAAACCCTGCTCGCGCTATGCAACACTAACACTACTGTGAAGAGGATGGAAAGATAAACATCTACAGTGGTAACATTAACAGCAGAGTTTCATTTAAACTGGGATTGTTTTTCTGATCTCATGTTATACAGCAGAAAGCAGTGGAAAAGTTTGATTATAATTACTGTCTTGAATACTTTCCTTTGTTCAAAGCACTCGGTTCCCGTTCCCGCAGGGAAGGGGGCCCAGCTGCGCCCAGTCCGTGCGGGCGGCTGCGAAGGGAGGCCGTGTCGGTGCTGACACTGCGCTGCGTGGCGCGACCCAGCTGCTTTGCGGGACTGGAGCTTCCACAGCTGAGGGAAACAAATGTTGCGTCCTGCAACTTAAATACAAGTAATCTGGCAGCGGTAGTGCTCTTGGCAGTAGTGCTTACGTGCTTGGAAGTGCACGTGTGCTTATGTTAATGGCATAGCAGGTGCTTTCTAGCACGGCAGCCATGCGATTCAGTTCCTTCAAACCCTCCTTTGGGCCCTGTGCTCGGCCCCCGTGGGGTCCCCTACAGCCCCCGACGCGTCTCTCTCCGGATCTGCTTGCAGGACCGTAGCCTAGACGCGTTCAGCCGAGCTTGCCGTAAAGGACCTCATCATCCTTCTGCCTCAAGAGCATCACAAGAAACCGCAGGATGAGAGGAGGAGGAGGAAAATGGCCGGAGCCGCAAGCGCGACCGAGCGTGCAGGTGACAAAGCGCTGGGGCGATGCCGGCGG